GTGGCCTCTCCCGTTGCGGAGCACAGGCTCCGGACGCGCAGGCTCAGCGGCCATGGCTCACGGGCCCAGCCGCTCTGCAGCATGTGGGATCTTACCGGACCGGGGCACGAACCTGTGTCCCGTGCATTGGCAGGTGGATTCTTAACCACTGTGCCACCAGGGAAGTCCCTATTGGCCATTTTTATTTCTTCATTTGTGAATTATCTCAGTACTTTGCTCATTTATCTATTATCCACAATACGACTAGTTATTTTATTACAAAAGTAACTAAAAAGTAATGAAGACATTGTAAAATAGATTAGAACATTTGAATATTTATAGTGTTTTATAACATGCTGTTTAAATAACTCAATCCAATACATTGAGAATATCTTTCTATGTCAACCAGTGTATATCTAAGCCATCATTTTTTTTTTACTTTTTTTTTTTTTTGCGGTTCGCGGGCCTCTCACTTTTGTGGCCTCTCCCGTTGCGGAGCACAGGCTCCGGACGCGCAGGCTCAGCGGCCATGGCTCACGGGCCCAGCCGCTCCGCAGCATGTGGGATCTTCCCGGACCGGGACACGAACCCGTGTCCCCTGCATCGGCAGGCGGACTCTCAACCGCTGCACCACCAGGGAAGCCCCTAAATCCTTTTTTATTTAATGTTTTTACTGTAATATAGTTGATGTATCCATTTCTTTCTTTTATCGACTAATTTGTTAACCTGATGGCTCCACGAGCTAACAAAGACAGTATATTATGTTTCAGAAGTCGTTTGTGGTACTAAAGCGTTAGCATGAATCCTGTTTTGCTATAATTTTACCATAAAAATTCAAAATGAAGATCTACATGATAGTATATTTTTAATTTTCATTGTCATATAATTTTTTAATCCTCTGCTGGCAAATATGCCAGTGATATGATATCCAAATTTGACTTAAAAGAGGATAGCAGTACTTACAGATATAAGATACATATTATTTACCCCAGTTAATGATGATGATAATAATAATAGCTAATCTGTATTTATTAAGGATTTATCATATCTAGGTGGTTTAGATATTTTCTGTCATTTTTTTCTTCATAACTATTGTTTCACTATTTTAAAAATAGAAACGTGGGACTTAAAATGATCGGAAAACTTGCTCAAAATTATGTAGGTGGCATATAGCATAGCAAGAATTTGAAGACAAGCAGTTTGAAATCAGTGCACTATAACTCACTATATCTCATATATTCACTTGATACTAAGAAGATCAGATTAAGGGAGAATCGAACTGATAATTTTTCACACTTTAAACAGTATTAGCTGTCTTTGTTCTAACCCTTAATATCTATTTCTATAAGGATTGGAAATTTTGCTTTCACATTTGCAGGATAGAATTAGATGATAAAAAAGGCCATTTAATTATCTCCGGGCGTTTAATTTTCCATTGGAAGAATGTAAAAGAGCACTTATTAACAGATTTTTGCCTTTAATGAATTCAAAACGCAGCAGAGAGTTATTTGTGACAAGGCTTCTTATCCTTCCTGAAATAAATAAATGAAACCACATTCATCTCAATGCGTAGTAATTATTAACTCTCAGCAAGACATCTCATCAGGAGAGGGGAGAGGACTCACTATTTATAAACCAAAATGGCAGAGCTTCTTGATGTATCCAGATCAATGTGAGTCTGAAGGGGTTTGTTTCTCATAAGACTTAAAGTCAGGATATTATTTACTTCTTAAGAATAAATTGAAACATTATTAACAAAGACAGCAGAAAGGGAAAAAATATTTACCATATCTATCAGACAAATGATTAAAAATCCACAGCACTTGGTTGTATGTGTATCACTTTACAAATCAACTGAGGAGACAAAAAGGGAAAAATATGGAAAGTATATCAACAGGCAAGTGATGGGATGATAAATAACGAAAACACTGAAATTCTTGCTCAAACAACAGAAAAGGATGTAATTTTCACTCACGAGGTTGGCAAAAATTAAGAGAGTTGGTAAAAATCCAGTGTTGAAATGGTCACACTCATGCATTGTTGATTGGAATTTAAAGGGTATGGAGTTTTTGAAGACAGCCTGAGAGTATGAACTTTTGAAATGTGTATACCCTTGACTCAGCTCTTGTCTTCTAGGAATAGATCCTACAGACATCGTAGAGATGCACAATGTGCAAATCAAGAAGTGCACATTCACTGTAGCAGTGTTTAGAACCAACTAGACGGTTCAACAATAGGAGGATGATTTTTAGAAGTGTTGCATATTATGATTATTATGGGGCAAATCTATATGAACTGACCAAGTATATTAGTGGGAAAAAAATCACGTCACAGAATAATGCATTATGAGTGCAACCTCATTTATTAAAAATAAAAAGCAAAACTAAAATTGTCTGTGTCTACTAATTTCTATCTAAAAGCGCATGTATTAAACTGGGAAGAAAAGTTAACTCTAGAACAGTCATTAGAATCAGAAAGGGGAAGTCAGCAGTGATAAACAGAGGTAGAACCTTTCAACTCTGTGGACTTTCACATTGTTTAAAGTGTTTACAGTGGGTTTTCATTCATGTATTACTTGTATGTATGTATATGTGTATGTATGTATGTGTAAACAGAGTAGATTCAAGGTTGTCTGCATGACAGTTTTTTAAATTTATTTATATTATTTAAAGACTTATGCATGTAAAAATATAAATTAAATGTTCTTTAAATACCATTACTTTTTTTAGTAGATGTGTTGAATTTGAGATGTCTACTAAACCAGTACTTCTCAAACTGTCTTAGGTGAAGGACAAGTTTACTTCATTTCCAATTCATTGGAGATCAATGTTTGTTCCTACTGCACATGATTGGAACTCACCTCACACCACATGCAACTTATCAAGCAAATTTGACAACATATAAACTGGTCTACACCCTGTGCAATGAGATAAGACCACTGCTGGCATCAAATTGCTATAAATGTTGTTAAACTCTTTCTCTCATTTTTATACTTAGTTTGTTGCAGACTGATGACAAATGATTTGTGGATGGACCACACTTAAGGCGGCACTGTATTCAATATTGAAGCGAGATGTTGAGTAGGCATTTATATACAGGAGTCAGAAGTTTGGGAGGGAGACCCAAACTGAAACTACTGTTATCTTTACTAAAATAAAATTTTGGAAATTAGCAATATATAGATGGTTTCTAGAGCCATGAGGCTACCTGAGATCGTAAGGGGGTGAGTGTAATATAAAGAGACAAGAATAGGAATTAGGAGGGAGCCCTTGACTATACAATATTAGGATATTGGGAGGAGAAGGAGATACAGCCAAGGAGACAGAAAGGAGTACCAACAAGAGGAGGAAAACCAAAGGAGTATGGGGTCCTGTGAGATAAGAAGTCTAGTAAAATAAAGACTGAGATTTGACAATTGGTTTTAGCAACATGAAGGACATTGGTGACCTTGTAAGTAAGGGTAATTCTAGTGCAGTGATGGGAGAAACAGCATGATTGGTGGGATTTTGCTGTAAAGAACAGTAAGGAGATGGATGGTAGCAAACAGATGAAAGTAAGGTCAAGAGAAGGCTTCGTAAGATGATAAAAAAATAATAGTAATAACCACAAGCCAATGGAAACCATTCAATAGAGAGCAAAAAAAACAGGTAATTCAAGAGAGGCAGAAGATAATTTTTGGACTTATGTCTTTGAGTAGATGAAAGGAGACAATTTCTAGCTAACAAAATAAAGAAACTGAGCCAGAAGGAGAATGGGTAATTTGCCCAGTGTTTGCAGTTGCCATTATTATTATTATCTCCTAACCCACTCTAAGTGTAGACACACCCCTTATTTGGGGTATGACCCTAATGATATACTCTATATATCAGATTTTAAAACAACAGCT